CCCCCGGGCTTTTTGGTTTTTGGAGGGGTTTTTTTTTGGGGCCCTTTTTTTTGTGTGGGGTTCCCCGGGACATTAAAATGTTTTCCCCCCCCCCCCCCCCCTCCGATGCCCCCCCCCCATCGGGGTTGGGTTTTCGTCGCTTGGCAACGACGTTGTAAAACAAGCCGCCCCCCCCGGTGTTTGCCATCGGGGTTTGGGTTTTCGTCGCTTGGCAACGACGTTGTAAAACAAGCCCCCCCACTCGGTGTTTGCCATCGGGATTGGGTTTTCGTCGCTTGGCAACGACGTTGTAAAACAAGCCAATTCACTTCGTGAACTCGACAACCAGGTTACCGTTTTTTTTTTTTCACCTCGTTTTTTTTTTTTGGCGGTAACCATAATGGTGGTCGAGTAGATCATGTTGTGCGGGGTCGAGAACCCTCACTCCGCGCAACGGGGGATGATCGTACCACGTTGTGTTAAAATGGTCAAGCATCCTCGAGGCAGTTACACAGTGCTTACAACTGTCTCTGGAAGTGAAAGCACCAGAAAATAAATTAAGTCATACGTAGCTGTCATCCGTACGCAAGGAAGTAAGCACAGGATGCCGAACACCCTTAGCAGGATGCAGCTCACCCTTCATGCGACTCGCCAAATACCTCACGGCGCTTCGCGCTTGGTGATGTGAGAGCCTGGTCCGGTGAGAACCCGGCGTGCTCGGTCCCGGCTTTGTAGGGATGCGAGGTCAATGGTCAAACGACTACGGCATGCACGACTATGAGTACACCCCCCCCCCCGGTTCGAGTGTCGTACTTGGAGGTGTCGTGGCGAGGAATTTACATGAACGAATGTGGTCTTGCAGCGTGCGTTATGCACGGCCTGTGTGTTGGCTGAAGACCTGCGATTGATGCTTACAATGCCAGTCGTATGCGTTGCTTCCTCTTTTGGACACAAATGGTCTTGATGGAGTACTATGCGATGCGGATCACTCATACAAATAAGGTAGCTTTTTCTGACGCTATGAATTCATTGCTAGTCTGTCTCTGACTCTTTTCTATGATAGAGATGGATTCGTTGTGTCTTATTAAGAAAAATAAAAAATAAATAAAAAACCGAGTCAGAGCATCATCAGACATCGCCGTAGCTTCTCTCCACGTTGGCCTTGAGTGAGTGCGCACGATTTCCCGTCCCCGCTGTTGCCATGTGCCATATTTTCATGAGTGCGTGCCCCGCTGTTGTTAATATTTTTTGTTTTTGTTGTTGTTTCGTCACTGCCGTCACAGGCAATGGGCACGACGGCGCTCAACATGCACGAGCGTATGGACGGCCTGCTGTACGCCCTGGTGCACCCCCAGAAGCCCATGGTCACCACCCGGGTGCTGGACCTGGTTCACTTCGATCAGGCGAGAGGCCTGCTCTTGACGCAATAGCGGTGCACTCCTCATGTGGTTTCTATGCTCGGTCCATGAGTCTGCAAATCGGGAATTGAACGTGACATACGCTGGTGGAAATCATTTATACGTTGTCCTTGTCCTTGTCCTTGCCCTTGGTTTTATTTCTCGTGCTCATCATTGTGGTTGTGTACCTCATCCTTTCCCTTGTCCTACCCTTATCCTTGTCCTTGGTCTTGGTCCTCATGCTCATCATCGTGCTTGTCTACTTCACCCTTCCCCTTCCCCTTCGCCTTAGTCCTCGTGCTCATCCTTACCGTTCCCCTCGTTCTTATCCTTACATCCGCTGCCCTTGCCCTCGCCGGTTGCAGGTGCCCGGAGGGCAGAACGCGTCCATCGCGGTGATGTCCTACTCCGGCTACGACATCGAAGACGCCATCGTGCTCAACAGGGGGTCCCTCGATCGAGGGTTCGGGCGGTGCATGGTCTTCAGGAAGCACCAGGTGCGACCGGCGCCCTTGGGGTGGGCACACAACACCCTCAGCCACGAAGCCCATCTCTTCACGTTGCCATACGTGCCTTGCTGCAGGACAAGTTCAGCGATGAATCTTATCTATTCATTCCACGTCCAGAATTAGGAGAAAAACGCCTTGCTCTAGGCATTGTAGCAGAGAGCAAGAGGCCGTGCTCGTGATGCTTCCATTGACCCCCCTCCGAAGACGTAAGACATGGCAGTGCACCCTAGTCTACACCGCGAAAACAAAAGTTATTTTTTTCTGGCTGAGACTGCCCACACGCGGCCCGCGGGTGTTCTCCAGGCGCTCACCCAACAGCACGCACGCCTCCACATGTATGTGCCCCCTTTTTTTGACGCACAACCCCGTTGTAAAACGTAATAAACAAATGGTGGTCCTCCCCGAGCCTAAATTTAACAGCCGAACGACTCGTTCTTCGGCTGGATTCGACTGCACTGCCCACGCGCGGCGTTTTCGTGCCATTCTCAGGCGCCCATCCGAAAGTACCCCAACGGCACCCAGGACAAGATCGTCGGGAAAGTGCGGGCGTCGGAGTTCCCAAGAGGCGAAGATGTGAGATGGATGTATGGATTGGATTGGTCTTGTGTTGCACTGCTGTCAGATAGGTAGGTCAACCTTCCGCTTAGCGGCCGCCGTTTGCGACCATGCCCTGCGGTGCTGCTGTGTTTGCTTGCTGCTGCTGCTGCTGCTGCTGTTGTTGTTCCGCCTTTCGCCTTTCTCTTTGTCTTGGTCTTGGTTGAGAAGGGGAGGAGGGGATCACTCGATATATTCCCGCTTTCTGTGGTCGTGTGACGCACATGTGTCCTGTCCTGCCCTGTCCTGCCATGCCCCTCGTTTTACCGTGGAAGGACCCGCGATGGCCACGGTACAAAGCCTTGGACGAGGATGGTATCTGCCGCGTGGGGGCCAGGCTCGACCCCGGCACCATCATGGTCAACAAGCACAGCCCGGCCAGCACGTCAGGTGTGTGCGGCGTGTGGGCCAGGACCATGTTCGCTGACATGCTGTGACTGCTGGTACTGCTGCTGCTGCTGCTGCTGATTAGTGTTCGCCGGTGTTGTTGTTGCTGTTGTGGTACTGCTGCTGCTGGTACTGCTGCTGCTGGTACTGCTGCTGCTGGTACTGCTGCTGCTGCTGCTGCTGCTGCTGTTTAGTGTTCGTCGGTGTTGTTGTTGCTGTTGTGGTACTGCTGCTACTGCTGCTGCTGCTGCTGTTGGATTGTTCATCGTTCGGCGTCTCCGTTGACAAAACTGTCACTATTCAGCCAACCAACACGTCGGGTTGTTCCGATACGTTTGTTTTTTTGTTGTTGGTTCCCGTCGCCTAGCTCTAAACGAATGCGATATAGAATGCGCTATCTCAGCTACTGCTGTAATAGAATGGTACGGACAATCTCGTCCAGAGCAGATACTTTGCTCCTGCACCGACTCCAAGTAACGTCGTCGACGCCTCCTCTTTTTTGGTCAAATACAGTAAATACAGTAGGATCAATTGCTGTTGTTTTGACATGGAAAAACTTTGCTCATAGCTTTTAACATCCGCTGGCTGGTGGTCCAACTGCCGCGAAAACGTTCCGTGGTGGCAGGCTAACTACGAACTACCAAACAATTGTGGCCATCCTTAGTTTCCTATTTTCGCGGTATCTATACACAGATCATCGTGTCGTCGTGCCATGTGTTGGTAGCTGTCCCACAACATGTAAGGAAAAACGGTTCCGAGAAGGGCAGAAAGCACAACGGGGGCTACGCGAAGTGGTAAACCTTTTTTTTTTTGTATTTTTTTTTAATGCTCGCAGGATCGGGACCTGTCAGCTCGGACTTCGCTTCCACGCCTCTCTCGTACAAGGCGCCGGCAGAAAGCTACGTCGACAAGGTATGTGCTGTGCGCTCCACGTATGATGTTCAGAAATATCACTCCTTGTCTTCCCATAGGATGCGCCACTATAGTAGTGCGCGTTGATGCAGGAGTTTTTTTTTGTTTTGTTTTCGTGTTACTTTCCACCTCACCTTTCGTACCGCTACTGCTTCTGCTGCTGCGGCTGCAGCGGCTCCTACAACAACGGAAGGGTGGTGGTGCTCCAAGCGTGGTGTCTGCTCGTTAGCGGGCGCCTGCTGGCTCCCGGTGCAGTTCTCGTGTTTCGAATCGTTTGTCATGTGAACGATGCCGTAACCCTTGGCTGTTTGACGATAGTCTAGAGCGTGGGGCACAGCAGTGTTGGACGAAACTATTTTTGCGTGCGGTAGTGCCTGCGGCGGCGGCGCGGGTGCTTTCCCGGGTCGGGTCACTCGCTCGCGGCGTCTTGCGTGTGTCCTCTTTCTCTTGCGTTGGTGCCGCTGCTCTTGCGCATCGCCATGTACTTGTTTTTGTGAGTTGGCGTGTCTTTTTTTTTCGTGCGTGATGTCCTTCTGTTTGCATTGGAGTGTGCTTGGTTTTGTGACTTGACGTGTCTTTTTTTTTTTCGCGTGTAATGCTGCCGGTCGCGAATGATGCTCAAGGTGGTGCTCACGGCTAACGAGAACGAAGACTACCTCATCAAGATCCTCCTCCGACAGACCAGAAGACCTGAGGTGGGACTGGAGGGGGGGGGGGTTAACCGGCCATAAGAACAAATTGACGTGAACACACATATGTTTTCCATGATCTTGCTGCGTCGTTGCAGAAAAGTAAAAATGAGCATATGGGGAGTGGGTACAGCACAGATTGGCTTTCCCATAGATTTGGGTCGTGTACAGAAGAAGGGGGGCGTACTCTCATGTTTTGCATGCCTTAGTGGTTACACCATTAACCACGCGTCCTCGAGAGGACGGAGCGTTGTTCCCAAAGGACCGACCGATCACGTGGCCAATTGTTCCTTCCTACTTTGCCAAAGGTGGCTAAATTTGGAACCCCTTTCCATACGTCATTGACGACCTTGACCCACCGTGGGTTGGCTACTACTCTTCTTGTTTGCCCACTTCGCCTCCCAAGCTTGCTCGGCAACCTCTCCTCTCCCATACCGCACATGCGGTATTGCTATGTTTTAACTTCCTTGCGTCTCTTCCCGATCATAGGGATTGGATCCCCAGTTCCGCCCTGACGGCTGCATGACTTGTGCGCTTGGAGCATCCTAGGATGATTTTCGCGGCTTTCATCTGCGCCGCCTCGAGTTCTTTGACTACCTTCGTATTTCCTTCCCATACTTCTCCGGCGTACTCTAGCGGCGGTACGATTACGCTTTTGAAAACTGTCAGTTTGGTGCTTGTATGGAGTTGCCGGTTTGCAAGTATTGGGTGCATCTTCCCTGCACGCGCTTTACCCTTTTCCGCTACCTTGGATGCGAGCATACCACGGACAGTCTTTTGCGATCTCTCCTCCGAGAATGTGTACTGATCCATTACTGCAAGCTCCTCGACCCCCCATTTCCATGTATATTCTACTGGTTTCTCCCTGTCCTCGTTGCATACCATGACGGCACTCTTCTTAACGTTGGCAGACAATCTCCACTTATCAGCGGAAACCTTCGCTGCATCAAACCTTGTGAGACCCCCTGTTCAGTGTTGAAGAGTTTAGACAGCTCTTTTCGCACTTTTCGTACACTCTGTCATATTCTTCAGAACTGTCCACGTTTTCTCCTCTATCCCATACTCGGACAATTGTTTCCGCAGCCTATTTCTCCAAACTATCGTCTGCCTTTTGTACATCCAAGAAGAAGCAGTACGTCGGCTTCCCCGCCCTCTTTCTACCTTGGATGATTCTCCCTAACGTGAATGCGTGGTCTACGCACCCCCTCTTCTTTCGGAAACCTGCTTGGCACTTATCCCACCTTCCTTGTCATATACTCCAACTATCCTGTCGTTTAGCAGCTTTCAGAACACGTTTCCTACTGTGTTCAACAGTGTGGCCCCCCTAGAGTTTCCTGGGTCAGTCTTGTCTCCCTTCTGACACAAGTTCACAACCACCCCTTTCCCGCCATCTACTTGTCGCATACTCATTTATCCACACCCACTTGTACAGCAGCACGATCAACTGGATCGTCCCCTTCCCCCCAAGCTTCATGAACTCGTTGACTATCCCATCCGCCCCTGCTGCTTTGTGGCACTGCAGCTTGTTCACACAAGTCTCAACCTCGTCCTCAGTGAGCTCCTTCTCCAGCTCTACGTTCCCAACGTCTGCCTTCGATGCCTCTTCTTCTTCTTC